GTTTCTATAATGTACGTCGATGGTTGCTCAATTAAAACCGACTTCTTTTCACTCACTCATTTGTGTCCTTTTTGTGGTGAGCTACAGTGTCATTGACACTTTCATTGTCTTTGAAATGTGATCGGACTACTTTGTAGAAATTCGCATCATAGAGCTGGCAAAAGTTTCGAGGGGAGCATAGAGCATGAATCTGTAGTTATTTAACATGAATAAAGTGTATGTTTTGTAAGTGCAGTAACAGTGTGAGTATTTTTAATTAATTTCTGTTCGACGCTTATTCAGGCCTGCAGCCTATGGACGCCCTCTACTGTTGTTCAACACCTGTACGAAGGGAATCACTTTCCCCCGGGCGTAGATGGAGGGTGCCGCTACGTGGCAGCACTAGTGTTAAGATTAGGGTTAGGGTTAGGGAAATAAGGGTATAATAATATAATAATATAGGGAAATAAGTGTACGAAGTGACTAGTGCTGCCACGTAGCGGCACCCTCCATCTACGCCCGGGGGAAAGTGACACCCAGTGTACGAAGGTGCACTGCATGCAGTTTGCCTTGGGGCCATAGAAATAGTATAGATAACCATAATATGGTTATCTATACTATTTCTATGCTTGTGGCAGTGGTATCCAGTGGTGGCAGTGGTAGGAGTCTATCAATATTGATAGGTGGTATCCTGAGTGGTATCCTGAGTTGTACGAAGGGGGCGCTGCATGCAGTTCGAGGATGAGCAGGATAAGAGCAAGTTGAAAGCACAACCTTGCACATACTAACGAGTTTGTCAGACAGACCAATACTGGCAATAGGCAATAACCCTTGATCACGAGATTTTACGTTAGCGATCCTATGTTTATTTTATTTCGTATTTTTAATTATTTGATTGGGTATTTTACAAAAATCTACATTTGTTACATGACTCATAAAAACACGTAATGGATTTTATAACACACTAGTAGAGCTCTCTATACAGTCTCTTTTAAACGTATATGATTATGAAACTTACATACACATTAAAATTAGTAAAACAAAAATCACATGATCGGGCAAGGAATGCACCACTTAAAAATGACGAGTAAAACATGGTTGCAATTACACTTTAGTATCCATACTCATTTGCAAGTACCTAAACACTAACAGATATCCAAAGAGACATGATACAAGATTGCGTGGCACAGCTTTGCTGTTGATCCTGAGCGCTGCTCGCGAATGAGAAGCGCAGTTCCGCGGGATATGCGCACGCGACCGCAGGGATGTTCAAGTATGAAGCGCTGCCCGCAGTGGAGACGTGCACCAAATTTGAGGCCCGGCGCACGTCTCCACAGCGGTCAGCGGATAGTCTGTAGTTTTAAAAGATAACAATAAAGACTTTGTTCTAAATAAGAACTATCGGCGGCTAAATAAGAGCAATATACAGACCTTTAAATTTCTTGACTAGTCAGTCAAAGGGCTTGTTGGGGGTCCATTATGCAGAGCTTCCAATTGAAATGGCCCATGAAATTGTCAAGTGGAATTGTGTTTTTCGGAACCCCAGAGAAAATGTCTCCCTCTTACATGCACCCCCTCCCTGATCAATCACGCATTCAGGCGTAAACAATAACAGAGATGAAATTGTGTTGAGTTTATGGCTCTTGACGCACATGCATTGACGTACAAGACTGATGAAAGCACAGGCACTTGGAACGTCTCAATAAAAATAAATCTTCACACAATTTTTTACAATGATCGACCGCCTGAGTGCAAAATAGGTGAACGTATGTGAAACATATACGGTTAGTACTTACTGTGACATATCCGTGACTAACTGACACCACTAAATTGGTAAAATGTTCCATGCACCTTAAGAAATGCTGAGAAATATGAAAGAAGCTATATGTAAACAAACACGCGTGTTGAGAGGTGCGTGCCTCCGATATCCATTTCGAGGCCCGCTAAGCCAAGCATAAAGCGCTCGGGCAAGACGTCACACACACAGCTACGTTCATTGGCTAAAACAATCGAGTAGCGTGGTTAGGGATTTTCGGAATTATTTAATTTTAAGAAAAACTTCAATGTTCAATGAATGACGTACTCGTTCACTTCTGAAAGCGGGTAAAAATGCCTAATTTTTCCACTTCGGTGCGAAATGCATCGGCCGGGCCTTTCATTATTTACGAAAAGCAAACAGTCTCGCCAAACACCTATACACGCAGTAACGGGTCACGTCGTTGATGCCCCATTCACGCCCATCAACGAAGAAGGCGGGGCTAATTCTGATTATGGAAATGCGAAAATGCAACAGAAGGACGTAGCGCAGTGCGCTAAACAGCGTGTTATTTTCGTATTGCTGCCAAACTCTATCGTAGAAAACCGTTCTAGCCTGGCAGAATGCCCTAGTTCCTGAATTGCGGAAATGCGAAAATGCAACAGAAGGACGTAACGCAGTGTGCTAAACAGCGTGTTATTTTCGTATTTGTGCCAAACTCTATATTAGGAAACCGTTCTAGCCTGGCAGAATGCCCTAGTTCGATTTCGCATGATGCTAGGCGAATGTACTGTGTACGATTTGAGCTCAAGTTGGTTGAGTTAGGCGTAGTAAATCGTAGGTATTCTAAGGCTAGTAAATGACAAATTTCCCTTGTTTATTGAAGTCACACTCCTTCCCTATTATCTACTCCTGGTACAATGGAGTTTACTATGTGCATTTGGCCTAAAGAGAAATAAAATCACAGCCACCCAGTATTCTTACTCCCTATTTCAAATGCATAGACGAGTTCAATGTACAGGGAAGCATCAATTACATTTAAAGGAGAAGATCTATTAACATCCCAGCCATGAGAGCATAAAAGAAACGAGACTGAAATTCACGAGGTTTATCAAGACGCGACACATAGCGAGGACATGGAGGGCCAGCAAGTCCTGACCTGGAATGTCATTTAATATTAGAAAGCATACAGCTAATTATAAGACATGCTGAAGACATGATATAGCCAATCATATGGCTACCTGATGTTTCATTGCCACCAAAGGTCTTATCAAAAAGTGGGAATCGATACCCTTTATTAAAAATGTCTATTTCACGAGAAATTTATATATGTTATAATATTATGACAAAATTAAAAACTTGGCAGCATGGCAAGATGGCAGTATATGCCATCAACAATGGTATTTCATCGATACACTAGCTAGAATTAGCTTAATTTAAAAGTAAGAGCATTAATGGATTTTTCTGAGGTAGAGATTTTAAATAGAGTCACAGATTAATATTTTAGCAAATTTTGGAGCTTGATTAACAAGATTTGGACAAATTTGGCAAAAAATTTACATTCTGAACTCTAATTAGTTACAAGACATACAATGCTATGAACATGACCTTTGATGGATATAACTTTACCAGTGTTGTGATGCACCTTATTATTGGGGACGAAGATGATAATGGACAATACTTAGGGAAAACCCAAATTACGTACATTACTTTCACTGTTGCGCTCGACTGTAGATCCTGTAATACAGAATTTTTGCGTGCATAATAGTGACACTGTTCTGTAGTGTAAAAACGGTTATAGGGGAGTTGTGCATAAGACAGTAATATGCAAAGTTAGATGCATTCTCGTTCACATGCTTATAAAAAACATCATGAAATAATTCCCTTACTGGAAGAGCATTTTGTAAATATCCCTACTAAATGCTTTACTGCTTGATGTCGAATTTCAGTACTTAATTTCATCAGCAAATTTACTTTGAAACCATTCAAATTATTTTTATAGCTTATGCCTGCTATCACTTCAAAAGGCTCGCTCTGTTAGAAACCTAAAAAGTTAGCTAGGAAATCTTAAAGCTAGATGGCACTGGAACGGAATTTGAAATTACTTTGATCAACTTGTAACTCGATCATTTTAAAATCTAGATTTGATAGAGACCAGCAACCAACGAGCAGACTTACAGAACAGCAACTTTTACAGGCGGCTGGTAAGCACGGGCATCCATCATATAGTGTCATATCATCTATATGCATAGTAGTCAGATGGAGGAAGTTTGCATTACAGCCTTGTGCAGCATTCCTGCAGTCCATATTGTTCCTTCAAATGGTTCAGCAGCTCGTCTTTTTCGTCGCGTGGCAAAAAACACGACCTTGCAGCGTTGAAGTTCTGTGAAGAAAAGCGTGTTTCCGTGAAAAAAGACATCCAGGCATCTAGCAGGTATTATATTACTTACAAAAGATTCTTGTACGTACCATGCAGTTTCTTGAAAGTTTTAATACTAAGAGAGTAAGTGATGAGCACAAATATAATTATATTGCCGAACTGTTTAGCCACCATAATAATTTCCCTAAAAAGTGTGTTATTAACTGCACTACAATGCAAAGAAAACATTTCCACAATTACTACTCAAAACAAATCTCTCCTTTGTGAAAATACTATTTTATAGATGTAGCTCTTCGCTCAGCAATAAAAAAATGCCTATTACTGAGCGAACGGCTACATAGGTAGAACTAGGTACAGACAGCCAAACAAAAATAAAATTGATTATGTTCTGATTACTCACAGTACGTGCCAGAACTCTTTCACTGAAGTGCAGCTTGTTGAATCCTACATCGTACTCATCTCCAAGTGTGTTCTGAATCACTGTCGGGTCATCCGTATTTAGGGAGAAGTTCAAATCATCATTTGCAAACCTGGGCACACAAGTTCACTCATGTTACCTCACAAATGAACCCAGATATAATAATTACTGATTTATTCCAACAATTAAGTTATTTGTCCGATTTCTTTCCATTGTAGCTGGAAATTACGTCAACCGGCTTTACATTATGATGGCCCAAATGGCTATGTTATCCCCACGCAGCTATTGTATGCCAGGCTATCAGAGAAATAATCTATCAGTATCAGAGTATTCAGCCTTTAGTGAAGAATTAAATGGCCATTTAGCCACCATACTCGAGGCTATTTAATTTCACTAGTTTTATTCCATGATTTTGTTGCAATAACCCGATATCTACACCGATATCTCACAAACACAAAGAGTATCTAGAAAGTGCACCAAAACCTACATCATGTGACAACAGCACTTCAGTAAAGGAATAGTCATAACAATGTTTCTATTACTTAATTAGATTTACTCGTATACAATATGATAGACAACAGGTACTATAGTATTTATACCTGATTGCAGGGTGCTTGGACCAGTCCAAAGTAACTGCTCCTGTGGCCTGACTTGAGAGCAAGCAGACTTCAAAGTGAATATCCCTGGCTCGCAAATCCTGATATATTGCTTCATCCTCCACTGTATGATATCCGTGGCCTATTCGCTGGGCAAGTAACTCATATACAGCCTAAGAAACAATATTGATAAAGTTTTTATACTTATGCTATTACAACCTCTATACATCACCATTAGCAAAAAATACCATTATACGCATAGAATTATTATTAGTAAACTTAAGTAAACTTAGTAAAGAATAATTTTAATATACATACTATCGGGAGTAAATAAAAACACATTTTAAAACATGTAACACGCATAAAAATGTGTTTTCATTCACTACTGCAAATAATGTTTATGTAAACTTGCTAAGTCGGTATGCATAATAGATAGAGCTTAAATTCAGATCACAGCCTGTGACAGGTTGATCACATAGTGTTGAAAACCTTAAGAAAAACAATTTAATTGGCTTATTTTCACAATTCTATTAAAGGGATAGTAGACTCCAGGATTTTACTGCATACAACTGTACTTACTGTATAACAAATCTATACCCACACGTATTTGTTACCAGATACATAATTTAATTGTTATAATTAATTACACATCAACGCTACGAAATTTGAACGGCGCCATATGACACCCGCAATCGTGCTGCCACCCCGAACAAGTTGCGTATTTGACAATTTATTTTGCACGTTTCAGACCGAGGGCTAATCACAAAAGTGCAATTATATTTATACCTAAACGCTATTTAACCGAACGATATTCCTTTTAGGGCAAATTTATATATTACAATCCTTTTGCTTTTAAATTAATAAATAAGAAACACCCTTGGTCTGTAGACCTTGGCTGAAGTGGTTTTGCGCAACTTATCAGATTCGCTTTGAGTGGCGCCACCGTCGTTGTAATCAAACTGTAGTCGTTAGTTTTAAAACATTTTTTAATAATATTTCTAATGGTGATTGAACCATGAAACTTTTTATGTAGTGTAATTTTAACCTAGATTAACTGAAAATAACCCTAGAACCTAGAGTAAACGATCCCTTTAACATTATGTAAGCATAGATATCAGATATGCTACACATAGATCATTTGTCCTGATCAACACTCTCTCTCTTCTCCCATACCCTAGTTACTTCATCTCAAATGCAACACACGTTTAGAGTTTTAAATATTTACCGCTTTTGCATTAGACGCAGGACCTGCCTCTGCAGCATGAACTGTCCTGCTGATCCCTAGTCTGGCTGCCTCCTATCATCAATAAGAACAAATCAAAAAGCTTTCAACCATTGATCCATGATAACAAGAAACTGCTCAGTGCAATTGACAGGTGCAGTGCAGCACATTGAATATTGGTGTGAAATTGAAGTCTGGAAAAACGTTTATCACTAGACAAAGATTAAGAATGATAACAGATGTGAGTTCGTAGAGCTAATCCAAACACGTGTCACACTGCAAAGTAAAAAATTTTCAAAGTGCACCTAACCTGGAAAGCCTTTTTATGATCAGGATGGGTTGGTTGGCTCTCATCTCCTGCTAAATCTATACCAACAACTCCTTTGCTTCGAAATTCCTGGCACAAATACACAACTTCACTCGACCAATCTGAAAATATGTCACCACAAGTTTTCAGCAAATAACGTATACACAAGACTTACATATATAAATACCAATTTCTCACATTAGTTAAAAGGCCTTTAAATATATCCTTTCACCAGTTCATGATGTCACACTTAATAACATCGTTTTAGGGTGCATATATATATAGATCTTGTATGGCCGATGCATTACCTGGAAATGGCCGGATGCAACACAGAATCTGACGCACTTTGATATTGAAATCTTTTTCACCTTGTGATAGCCCCTTAGACACAGTCTCTACTACCATTTTTGGGGTCACATCTCCCTAGAAATAATAAACAGTCAAATTAATTGGTGTCACGCTAGTGAGCTTTCTATAATCATAATTTCTAAAGACATATATAACAAACAGCTTTGTATAATGTTAACAATATCACCCTGGATAATAAATACATGGTTCCCATGCACAATATCTAGTTTATAATCTTCATAATTATATAAGTACAATTTTTTTAATGTGCGTACTGGTACTAGTTGCAGTCTTGTCTAAACATAGTGACTGAGCTGCAGAGATGAAATGATTCATATTAGCCAACTCAGCTTGCCATTGAGAGCAGATGTCTGGAAGCTCAATCTCTTTTTTGCCACAAACCATATCCACTTTCATAAATAATAAAATGCTTCCATACTCGATAGATCGGTACTATCACTGAAATAAACAATCCACAACATCAAAATCTGTTAGTTTCAACTTCATAAGGGAGATTTTCTTATATTACTGATTTTTTGTAAGCATATGCAGTCGCAAGATGCAAACGCCGTAGGCGCGAAGCCAATCTAGGGGGGTCCGGGGGCATGCCCCCCGAAAATTTTTTGATTTTGGATAGTCTGAAACTCAATTTCCTGCATTCTGAGCAATAAAAAGCCCATATATCAGACTGACAATTTTTTTTAATTTTTTTTTTTATCTGGACAAAAATTAGTGCCGGGCGGAGATAACCGACTCGTTTATAATGCCGGGCGGGGGCGGCAACCGCGAGTGCCGGGCACACCCGCCCGCCGCCGCCCACCGTGGGCAGAACTCTGCTTACTGGTCAACAGGTTCTTCTTAAGCTGTAAGTAGTGTACGTATACACACAATTCTTATCTGGTTATACTCGCCGGTCATATTACCTAAATTAAGGTGTTACAAAAAATTTCCTGTCATACTTGAAAGAGAAATGTCTCCACCAAGTACAAAGTCCAATCATTTTAACCTCTGACTTGCTCAGTCAATATCAATTCTTTGTCAGAAACCTAGCAAAACAACCTGTCGAAAAGCTGAAGCTTAAAAGGTCGAGAAGCGAAAGACATGCTTTATATTCAGGATATACGACTGAAAAAATATACATGTATGAAAAATGCCACAGTCGAGTACAGGTATAGACAATGTCGTGCTATACCACCTGCATTATGAACAAGATTTACACGACTGACGTAGATGGCTTGCATAATGTGTAATGTGCAGTGACGAAAAATGTAGTAGCCACCTGGGTCCCCTAAAGTAATGAAAGTGTCAATGACACTGTAGCTCACCACAAAAAAAGGACACAAATGAGTGAGTGAGAAGAAGTCAGTTTTAATTGAGCAACCATCGACGTACATTATAGAAACGAAGAGTATATATGGGAGAAGTATAGAAGAGAAGTATATATACTCTTGATAATTATGTGTAATTTTTTATGTGAAAATAAATGTTTGAGATGTGAAAGTCTGAGATGTGGGCAAGTGATGGCGTTACACCTAAATGATTTAACGTTTTTATAATATTCAGATTTAGGCACTGCCTAAAAGCGGAGCTCCCGATGTGTAACGTGCAAGATTGAGAGGATACGCTTATTCCACGTAGCTGCTATATACCACGTGACAATGGTGTTTCCCTGCCCATAACACAACTTTTGTCAAAGGTTAATTGGTTGCATGGAAGTGTTTACTTCGTATGAGTTTTTCTAGGCGGTAGCACACGGTTGCCATCTGTATATCGCAATAATAATTTATAAACTAAAATGAATCACATTTGTGACGGTAGATGGCGCTATACCCGCTTTGATGTTTCTTAGCGATTGCGTTCGAAATAAATAGGTTATGCTGCGTTCCGACATGTTTTGTAAAACTTTACTCTAATATAGACGTTTTATCGGCAGGGTGGAGAGGAAATACCAATTTTGCATTAAAGATATTGTCAATGAAATCTTGTAAAACGAACCAGACGAGTGTGACACCACAGACTGTTATCTGCATGTCTATATAATATGCTATATAATTGCCAAAACCTACCTAATTTGCATTTTTTTACCTTAAATATCAAAACCCCTAGCCCTTATTCATTCACATACCAAAAATGAGCAAAATCCGTTGAACCTGAACTGACTAATGGCAATTCCCATTTTTGCCAAAAAATTGCCGTGGCTCGAAAGTACGTAGACTGGCGTGCTCCAAAATAGGACGTTCAAACCTCTCCCATAGCAGTAACAACTATACCCAATTTCAAACATGTGGGTCAAACGGTTCCTGAGTTATCGTTGACCGTAGCCAAATGTTGACGGACGGACGGACGGACGTACGACGGACGACGACCCATGGCAATAGCTCATCTTGACGATGTCAAGGTGAGCCAAAAATATTAGGGGTCCAGCCCAAATTTTAAGGGCCCAACTTATTGCATGAAGCGCCAAAATTTGGGATTCGTTTACTCGGAAACTGATACTAAAATGGTGCTCTATTGTGCATTATGAGCATAAAGATTCGGAGCAAATAGTTGAGGAAAGAACTGCAATTCTTCTCCTAGCAGTTTCTTGTAGGTTTAAGTATAGATTGCTGTAGTTTACATGCTTGTGGTAAAAAAGATGTAGCAGAATTCTAGGATATGATAAAATGGTAATTATATTAGTAATTAGGTATAGTATTAGTATTGGTATTAGTAATAGGGTATTAGTATTGGTAATTATATTAGCTTAATCGTAGCACTCAAACTGTAGTGAATGCACTGATTACAGAGTGTTTGGGTACGCAAACATACCCTCGCATTCTGGGCAACCTTCTGATAAAATTCTGCAGTACAACATTATTTTTCTGCGACCTAGACAAGTCTTAAATTTTCACCACTCATGGGGATGACTGATGACTTATATATTCTAATTAGTAAAAAGAGAACAACAGTTCCCTTGGGGGCATAAATGGGCATATTGTCCAAAACAGAACCATTGCTGTTATCATGGAAATGACCGAAGGCATTTACATGCCTTTTCATTGGTTCGCAATCAAAAGTAAACGCAATGTGGTTGTCTAAGGGATAATGTACAATTCCCCAAGGCACAGATTATTCCTACCAGATAGCCACCATGCAGCAGCTCAGCTGATTGCACAAACTCAAACTTTTTTTGGCTAAAGTCGTGATAATAACAATAATTATAATGCAGTAAAGCAGAATATTAGAGAACAGACCATCACTTTCCATGGACTGTCCGGTACTGTGGTTGCCAGGAGATGGGGAGAGTATCGTGCCTCCACATAAGCTATTCCCTGGTTAGCCGAGTCCTCGCAGAATTCGTACGCAACTCTGTAGATAGCCTGTAAGTCACCTCTATGCAAATATAAATGATGGGTAAAATAGGTTAGTAGGGTTTGAGATATCAACCTATAGTCTGTATGATCAATGTAAAAGTCTATCGCAAAAATAAACAATGTGCATGCAGTGAGTGGTTATGAGTGTTATCATGTGTAGGTTGCTGGAGTCGGCACCATGTGCAATGTCTTGTCATGTGTACATAGTGGACAAATGGAACCTTGCACAGGATAGCAAGGCTGCAGGTTGCAAACTTCAATTACAGATAGCCATGCGAAGGTAAAGTCACGTTTGTCTGCCTTTTCATCTCATTTCATTTCCATGATGGCATTATTTTTTCCCATTACTAGAGTAGAGAAAAACAGTAATATATTGGCAATAGCCTGAGCATGCAGCTGCAATAACCCATGTAACATTATTTATACCAATTACTCTCTAACTCCCTCTTCAGGGCGTTGGGGGGTTCGGAATCGGTGGCCGCCATATGCCCCGAGGCTACGTTATCGCGCCACGTACGCAGGTCAAAGGTTGCACACTGCACGCGGAAAACCATCTTTCTGCACAAACTATACTTGTATCGTTCGCTGACCAACTACTAGTATAGCTCATAGGGTCTATGTCCCCCAGGGTACTGCCATAACATACCCTGGATACGGTCCGGTATACCGGAACGTACCCTGGTCACTACTTGATATGGTTAAGATTAGGATTAGGGTTAGGGTTAAGGTTAAGGTTAAGGTTAAGGTTAGGGTTCGGGTTAGGGTTAGGGAGTAGGCGTAGGCGACTCCCTAGACTCGTTAGTGGAGTAGACGAGGTACGGTCCGGCATATTAGATAGTACCAGGGTACGTTCCGGCAGTACCCCGGGGGACATAGACCCTCTCAGCACTAGTATAGTGTTGGTTTAGCAAACTAGTGTGGGGGGCGGCGCGCGAATCCGTGGTTCGGTGGCGGGTTCCACCCTGGTTCGGTAGCGCGCGAATCCTGTTGGTAGGAAAAATGTACACGTGTTGCTGTAAAGTAAGATAAGGTTTTTATAAATAACATGTTGGTGGCGTTACAATGTGTATGGTTGGCGAAAAATATGGTGTGTGTTTGTAAACCGACATATGGTTGGACTAAATTGATAAACCGTACACCATACACGAGTATGCAGTGATGAACTGCAAACATTGACAATGAATGAACACAAATGAATTTATGTTTTTATAAAGGAGTGAGTGGGTTGACATTCTTCTGCAAAGATGAAAAAAAGAAAGATGAATTTATCAACATTCTAGACAAACTGTTTTGCATGGTTGGGAAAACCCGCCAGGCAGTCGACCTCACTCTTTCATAGAAAACAGTAAAGTACTTTACCAACAGCTGTCATCTTAAAATGGGGTTTGACTAAGTTAGCAGTGTAGTTGCCGTAGGGAACAATGCTAACATTTGTAATGTATTACTCCACTTGTAAACATGTTGCACCCAGCAGTACTACATATACACGGAAGATGGAAAACTTTAGTAAAACAAATTCCAAATGATGTAAATGCTCAAAGTGACAAGCTGTTGAAAAAACTAAAGAAACTGAAAAAATTGAAAAAACTACAGATGAAATACCTCAAGATCTGCCCAGCAGTTGAATGGATAATGTCGACGATGACAATGTGCACATTTATGCCACAGTTAAAACATAATAGTGTATACCGAACCGCACCTATATGCATGGCAAGAGATTGATACTTACAGTATTACTGGCATGAAAATGTTAAATGCATCTAGAAACTTGGTTAAACTCCCAGATCCACGAGCATTGATCTTCTGCTTAAACTCCTCGAAATTAGCGCCAGGCAATGTAATACCTTTGGTGCTGCAAAATGCACAAGCACACATGCATTTCTGTCTCTTCTTACAATCAGGAGCTAATAATGACAAATTTGTCATTATTAGCTCCTGTTACAATATATGCATTTCTGACTTTCAGTTCACATTAAAAAACCTTTACTGATACCCAAATGTGCTATTGACTGCCCACAATTAAAATTATGATGAATCATCATAAATCATGCTATCAATTCAGTCAATCAACTGCACGTTTCACATTTTAAAGTGGAACGTGTTAGGAATGCAGGACATAATGATTAACAGAATTATTTTGTTCAACAGCATTTTAAATTGACTACGTCACGCATTTTCTATGGTAATATTTGTAAAAAAAATTGTTGCCATTGTTTTACATTAAAAGTAAGTACTAACGGGACTAAATGTATCGTCAAATTCTTACCTGATAAGATTGTTTCTCAACTAGTTAAAAATCCAAAAAACCTGCACGATTTGATATTATTATCCTGATTAATAATTGCTTGCTATGGGCTATGTATCAGTCACCAGTGTATGTTTACATCAAACAATATAGAAAAATAAGAAGTATAATGCAGCAATTTAACCATAAAAAGTGAACAGAATTACTGAAATATTTTTTTAAGTTTTACTATTTACGGTGACGTAATCACTTTAACATGTTACATTACATCATCAGTCTTCACTGTAAATACTTACTGTGCTAGTTCCCAGATTGTTGAAGGCCTGACAGCTCCATCCAAATGCACATGCAGCTCCACCTAAAATGCACATGTTTTAATGCTGAACCTAGTTTAATTAATGAGTTTACAATACTGTAATAAAGTTTGTTTATCAAGTAGTTGAAGTAGCACCTGGCCAGCTAGGGATGCATCATTGTATGCAACACCGCTGACCTTTTCAATTTTCATGAGAGCTATGGCCTCGGGGCCGTAGCTAGGAATTAATGTATGGGGGGGGGCAAGATGAACGAGCGCCAGAGGCCAGAGGATAGAGGCCAGAGGCCAGAGGCGCTCGCTTCTAGGGGGGTCTGGGGGCATGCTCCCCCATAAAATTTTGAAATATAGAAGCACTGAAATGCCATTTCCAGCCATTTCAGGTAGGTTACATACCTAAAACTCCCCAAACGGTTAAGCGAGTATTTTCTAATCTTAAGTTCCCATTATTCCTCACTGGGTTCTTTTTTTTGGTGGGGGGCAGCTGCCCCCCCCCCTGCTAGCTACGGCCCTGGGTATATGCCGCCATGGCAGACAATCCCAGTTTGTGGTATAAAATTTTAGAGTTACAGTGTAGGCTGTGTAGCCCCCTTATAACGCGATGGTTGGGGTCCATAAAATGTCTTCGCGAAAAAAGCGAGGTACGTTGTGCTAAATCCGAATTATATATACATGCCATGGCTATATAAGAGCAAAAAAAGGGCCAAGGGGGTCCAACGACTCATCGCGTTAATATTATATATCCGAATTCGCGTTAAATCGGGGCGCGTAAAAACGGGGGGGGGGGTCCACTGTATTAAATGAGTTTGTTACTGTTAAAATGGGGGTTGTATGTAATTCGTTTGTAACTTTGTTGGCCACGAGATAGCCCGGATTTTCTTTTTCATTTCCAGTTACGACTTAATATTATTGTGCAACGTCAAAACATTGTCACTGTGCAATGCGTGTAATGTCAAAATTCTGATTATTTTGTTCAAAATTATTTGGGGTGCATCTGATTTACTTCATCGAAACGTCTTAAGTTATATATGAAGTAAATACGGTATTACTAATACTATTACTATATTACTCTAAGTCTAACCATAGACATAGAATACAAGATTGTATTCTATGTCTATGGTTTAACGCGACTCTAACGTAATGGTAACTATCGCGAAGCAGATCTTCTGCATCACGACTAGCAATTCACGACTGCATTCTGCTTCATGGGCGAAGAGTCTAAAACAGAAAATAACTGAATGCTTCTCCAAGCCAAGAGAAAGACATCGCTCCTGGTTAAGTAAAGAAATTAAAAATTTATTTGAAATTAAAAGACACCTAAAGAAAATCTTGAGTAAAGACAAACAACAAAACGTAAACACCAGACAAATTTGACAAGTGAAAGAACAAGAGCCGCAGAGCGTCTGGGCTCATCTGAGGTCTGTTGCTACAGTTATAAACGTAACATTTAAGTCGTGCGTAGTGACACCTTTGTTAGGCGCAGATATGCAGTTGCGTACACATCATTTCAGCAACCTTGTGCATTCTGTATACCTCCCAAATCCCATTGGTTGATACAAATCGCATGCCTGAAACTCCTGTTTTATGGTGCATTGTGACCCTAACCCTATTTAAAAAAAAATGTAATTGTTGTAAAAGTTTATTTCTGCAATGGATAACGTTTTTAACATTAAATTATTTGTTGTTATTAAATTGTTGTAAATAAATCATGTAAATATTTGCGTTAATTGGGAAAAAATAGTTAAATGGATAAAGATAGAAAAATACAGAAAACAGGAAAATAATTAAAAAACAGATGGGATTTGATCCAATGACCTTTCAGCCGTCACGCCTGTGCTCTACGCGTTCGGCTATTCAGGCTTATTGGGTTTATAGATTATGGATGTGCCATGAATATGACAACACTGTGAGGTAATTGAGGCAGTTGAGGAATCCATGTTTAACCCGCCTCTTGAGGGTCAAAAGGTTATCAGACACTTACTCTTCGCACGTCAGTGGAAAGCACATTTCATGGTCCTTTCAATAAAGTGATAAAAATGGTAAGTCAGCAGCCACTGAAACAAAAAAGTTTTTCACTCTGTCCATTAGGCCATGTCCTCAGAAAATGTCTGATATCTGACCTTTCCCCCACTGCCCTTTGACCTGTGACCTCAAATTTCGCTTTCCCAACTCGTTTTCGGATTACCCCCCCCCCATGTCCCGAATATCGTGACCGTACGTCGAGCCGTTTAGATTTGTGCCCAACTGTTGACGGACGCACGGCCGGACGCACGGACGCACGCTCATGCGATTCTACAAGCTGCATCTGACTATGCCAAGTGAGCTAAAAACTCATGCTTCTGCAATTCATAGTTAATATGGAAAATAATAGATTAATGAAAAGAGTATACATACAACAGACTAAAGAGGAAGAAAAGAATTGGGCAAACGAAACCTCGGAAATTTTAGATAACTACGAGTTAGGAATATCACTCTCAGCCATAGGAATAAAACCAAAGAAAGCCTGGAAAAAAAACAAGTAAAACAAGCTATTTTAAAACGCTGTGGCTACGGGTACGGCAGCCGTATCTTAATGTCTCAAAGCTGGAGGTACGGCAGTCCATTCGCTTTCATACTTAACGTAATAACAAGACAAAGAGGGCGGCGGGTGGCGCCAGATTTCGAAATAACGCCTTGGGAAATAAATTCACGATTTGAGAGTTTAGATGAGCTAGAACCCTAACCCTAACCCTAACGCCAAAAATGGGCTTCAACGAACGACGTCACGGCTGCCGTACCTCCAGCCACTGCGATTTAAAAAAGCGTAATAACAAGAGATAAAATGAAAACCAAAGGAAAAACGAAAATGAAGATGATAAACATAGAAACTTATGGGCTAAAGAAGGAATATAATATGAAAGAAATGTCATTTAGGCCTACAGACACGCGTTTTACTTTTAAATGTAAAACATGCATGATATTGATAGAACTCAAAAGCTATTTTAGAAATAACTTCGGTGATGACCGGTGCAATTTATGTAGGCAGTGATTTAGGCAATAACAATATGAAAGAGAACTTGGAACATTTAGGCCTATTAATAGTATTATATATAGGACGTGGATATTCGTCCGAGCATCGGACACCTGTTCGTATGCGCTATTCGTCTGAGCAGTTGTTGCGCATGCGCTGTTCATGTTGTATTACATAAATGTAATATAATGCTAGTTGCCCACTCTCTAACCCCATCCACAACCACAACCCTAACCCTAACCCTAACACTAACTATAAACCGACTCGGATCTCTTATATACTTGAGTCATAGTACCAAACACTATCTATGGTGTATAACCACATACGCATGTATGCAGGGGCGTCACAGCCGTAGCCGTAGGGCTGCCGTAGCAAAACGCTCATACCAATTTAGCATTTTAGAGCATCTAGATTTCAACATTTTCGGGAGGGAGACCCCCCAGACCCCCCCTTCACACTTCCTACCCCAGGCACTCGTGCCGTGCGCCTGCGGCATGCAACATGAACAGCGCATGCGCAACAACTGCTCGGACGAATAGCGCATACGAACAGGTGTCCGATTCTCGGACGAATATCCACGTCGTATATATATAAATGTGAGTTTTATAACATTAACATATAACTAAGGTCAGCGAACAAAGTGAAGTCTGAAGACTGGGGAGGGGGCTACACTGGGTTACTCAAACCAGCACAGCAGTAGAATATATGTACGAAAGATATTGTCAATTCGAAGTATTAATATCTAAAGTCTAAAGAAATGGCAGTAGACATAATTTCTTGTTTCTTTAAATAATCCCCGCACCTGCCTTAGAGTGCTTTGTGAAAGACAGGAGAGGGACCTATAAGGCTTAGCTCTGCCTCTAGGCTCTAGTACTATAGCCCGCTTACATTAACTGCCAGCGGCAACTGTACGCCGCCTAAGATACAAGATACAAGATCACGACCTACGCGAAGAAATGTTTGGTCACTTACCCGACTTCTTGCTTGCTTGGCGAAGCCATTGATTCCGCTTCGTATCATTTGTCTATGTTGTATTAAACGTATTTTGTCTAGTTTACCGTAGACATGAACACTAGGCTACTCACACACTGTTAGCAGCATCAATTATTCCGTGCAAGCAACGGGGATCGTTCACAAGACTTACTGTGGCGCCACATCGCGGGAAGTGTTATTACGAATTTCCACATAGGCAGCGGTAGAGTAATTTAAAGTAAGCGGCAGCGGAAAGTAGGCAGAGGGAACGCATGAGGACAGAGGAAGTGCCATGCATATATATATATATATATATATGTGTGTGTGTGTGTGTGCGTGTGCGTGTGCGTGCGCGTGCGCGTGCGCGTGCGCGTGTGCGTGTGTGTGCGTGTACTTAGAATATCTATTAAGAAAAAATGGTGGATAACTGGGTGTGGTTAGAGGGGAATAGAAGAAGATAGGGGAGGATTGATACATTTAGAGGAACAGGGAAGATTCTTGAGAGAGAACAGAAGGGCGTGGGTGCATGGTGCCCGGTGGTGCATCCATTCTACTGAGCTGTATATAATAACACATGACTCGTTGTATATATAAGAACTGTTGTTATATACAACTCAGTAATCTATGCCCAGTATTCCGGATAAAAATATGCAATTTTCCAGCTCCCGTTGATTAAAACCACAATTTCTAATTCGCAGAAAATTACACCAGCATTTCTCAGGTAATAAACCATATTTACTGTGAAAACACAGTTTACTGGTGGTGTCTATGCCATTCTGGAAGAAATAGTTATGCATCTTTAAAGCCTTGATCATCTTTTTGCACGAGAATTTCTTTCAGGGCTTTCCCCGCTTCTCGAGTGACTTCTTTCCCCGAATCGCGAATATTTTTTCTGCCATTTCTCGGATCCGAGATAATAAAATTGGGCCAATATTCCGAATCTCGACAATAACCGTTGCTCTTCTCATTCTTGACTGTTGTTCAGTGAGATCGACGATCGAGGTGGGAAGACGATGAAACTCAATATTTATTTTGATGTAGGCCTACTGTGTCGACCGCGGTTTCCCATGCCACAGAAGGTATATGCAGAGCGATATATATCAGTTGCGCACTGCGGACACGTGCAAGTCCATAGAGTCGACCTCTGACTAAACCTATTCCTGGCCACGACTGGAAAGCCAGAATTTTGTCATTTAACTGTTGATGTATACAGTAGGTTACTAATTTTGGTTTATGCTCATTGTGCGTGTTGGTTCTATAATTTCCTATAATATAATTTATGTAATATAATTTTCTGTTGTAACACAAGTACCCACGAACACACACTAAAAGCATCCACGAACGAACTCGCACGCGCTCGCGCGAAAAAAAAACGGGTATAAATATTCTTACGTATGAGGAGAATGAACTCACAGACGCGCAACCACGTACCCCACCCACGCACACATTCACACACAGGCGCGCCGCGCACACACACAGACACACAACACACACACAACACACACACACACACACACACACACACACACACACACACACACGCGGCCACGCACGCACGCACACGCACACACACACACACACCCAGAAGGGGAGAGAAGAGAGAGAGAGAGAGAGAGAGAGAAGAGCGAGAGAGAGAGAGAAAGAGAAGAGAGAGAGAGAGAGAAGAAGAGAGAGAGAGAGAAAGAGAAAGAACGAAGAGAGAGAGAGAGAGAGAGAGAGAGAGAAGAGAGGAGAAGAGAAGAGAGAGAGAGAGAGAGAGAGAGAGAGAGAGAAAGAGAGAGAGAGCGATATCAGGAGTGGTTTATATCTGCGATTCTGCGTGTGCGCGCGCGCCCGTGTGTGTTTCGCCTACATCGCGCATATTTGCCGTGCGGCCCAGGTGGGCATATATTTAACACCACCGGTACTTATTACTCGTAATGCTATATAAGTAAGCTGCACGTAGAAAATTTCTGCCCCGCATACGCATGCTGCATTTCATCTCATCAGCATCAAATCATAATTAGGCCGAGAATCACCCGAAAATAATTGAATCCGCGAGAATCTCATGAGAATCATTTCATCCGCGATCGTAAATGAAAGCCAATTAAAGAGTTTCCCTACTGCCGCCAGCTCAGCACCGTCTGCCCATTTTCCTAGTTTTGCAGCACCTACCATTGAAAGGCTTTTAATTTGCAATACTGCTTACGCTTTTCCAGCCTAACTTCACGAGTATTCAACTATATTAAAGAATGTGTTTAATTGGCATTCTTCCCTTATTGCTGATCCTAAAGTTATGATACATTATATCAAGAGTGGATCAAGAGAGAGATAATAGAGATAATAGAGATATTATCCACTCTTGATTATATCCTAAAATTCCTGATACATTATTTATAGAAATTTACGTGTTATGAATTCTGATAATATATAAAATCTCCAAAATATATTTAGTACTGCCTTGTATGCGCATCACACTACAGTACAGACACGGCTTCACATCTTGTTCCTCCCGGCGTAAAAAGTTCCCGCGGTTGTTATAGCGGTAATTATAGCGCCCACCTGCAGCCGATGCGGTCCAAAGTAACCACGAGATGGCGCTGTTGTGCGTAATTTTACATAGACTGGTACCCGGTCTCATTTCTCGGCTTAGGTAACCCACAAGAGTGACACCCATCGAGTAATCGAGGTGGGAGCGAGTACCAGTCTAAACTTCACATATACATTCTTGATCTCAGTAGTTTTGTTGTTATATGCGACTTTCTGCATTTTGCAATGCCTTAGTTGCCTATCAGGGATTTCTGATTGCCTTCCGGTGCAGGTATTTCATATAGACGATATGTTTGTGAAAATTTTGGAAATGTAGTAATTTGTGTCCAATTAGTGAATTGCCTTGATTAGTATCCTGCGGCCCACGGCACGGCCCACGGGCATCAGGGACCTAGTCCGCAAATGCAGACGTAAACTCCGCTTTGCTAATCTGAGGGTGCGGGTTTACCCATAACTGGGTTCTGCGTCGGCTCGGACTACAGGGACCGGGCGCAGGCACTTGGGTCCGTTTCAATAATAAAAAGAAAAAGAATGGTAGGTAAATAAGCAAGAAATGTATTTCCTGCCAGTGTGTTTCTCTACTATCGTTTTTTGCCTATTATTACTGATCTTATCTTCTTATCCCTCGTAGGTGCTTGGAATGGCACACAATCAACAACGTCAATCTTCAACGTCGTCGGTCCGCTGCTACCGTAGACCGAATAATTCTGTCCCATATAACCTTTTTTATATTTTGGTGAAGATTATATTGGGACAGAACGGGGTTCATTGAAATTTCGTGAGATCGCATGCAAAATGCATGCGCTGCGAATGCGGCCCGTACGCCGCTATTGGCGCGAAAAAAAACCTACCGTTCCCTTCTACATGACTTTACCTTGCTACAGATATGTGTATACATTCACTTCAATCGTTATTCACTTCTTAAAAGATTGTTTTTCAGAAACCCGCTTCATTCCACTTTCGTAAATAACATTTCAGGGTTCTCCCCAGGATGAAATTCAAACAGGGGGGAGAGGAGGGGAAGGGGGAGGGGGGGTCCGGGGGGCGTGTTTTTTTACCGTACCACTAATTAATGCGTAAAATCGTCACCACACCATAGACGGTATTTGGGGTTCTTGTATATATAAGATAGCCGAGTCGGTGTACAGTTAGTGGTGTGGGACAGGTTGACTGTTTGTACTTGTGTATTGTCTGCAGTGCATGCGTGGCACGGTAAAAATACACGTGCCGGGTGTCCTGGTCGAATGGGAATTCTTGACGATCGATTCCCTCGCTGGCAAACTTTTATTGTGGTGTAATTTAATCGGGGCGGAGGTATTTTAAACGGGGCGCAACGATTGAAACAGGGGGGAGTTTTCCCAAACGGGGCGCGCGCGCCCCAGTTGCGCAACGTAGGGAGAACCCTGCATTTACCATTTTCAAACAATCAGACCAATCAGAGCGAGTGTTATAATAGCCTGGTTCTCGCTTGTATCTGTGGCGCTGCAGAAGGGCTGATAGACTCACTCTGATTGGTCTGATTGTTTGTAAATGGCGAATGTTATTTACGAAAGTGGAATGAAGCGGGTTTCTGAAAAACAATCTTTTAAGAAGTGAATAACGATTGAAGTTACACTTACAGCGTTCCTTACGGCGTAGTTTGAAAGGCTGTTCGCTCAGCGCACGAGTTGTTTACAAGATGGCGACGGGAAATCTGGCGAATGCGAATCTAACATTTCTGACGTCAATTTGCAATCTATTTCAACTTTATTTAATTTTTCATTTATTCATTTACTTCTAAATTCAATTCGTATCAATTTCGTCTGCTAATTCGTTTAACAGTACTTGTTCGAAGACATTAAAATCTCGCGATTAAAATCTGCTGAGTAACCCTCCATGGGGGCCGCCATCTTTGATCAAGCGAGCGCACAGCGAGCGCTCGCGTGTCGTTCAAGAGGCGCTGCGTTCGTGCAACGAGCGTTCGCATCGAGCGTTCGCTCTCCTGAACACGCCTCAGGACATGGCAGGGGTAGAAATTAACTTTTGAACAAGGGAGTCCGTTCCTCAAAAAGAGGGAGTCCGCAGTCTGAGGTTCAAAATTAAAGATATTAACAATAACGCATGTGCTTATTTTTAAGATTCATGCATTGATGCAGTTGCACGTCTGCCAAATTTTCTTTGGACATTAGCTGAACAAATACAGTAATTCTGCGAGGCCGTGCTCTGGAACGAACTAGTTAGTATGGCAGAATTTTCAGGGAGTCAGACGGACTCCTGCATATGTCAAATCAGGGAGTCCGACAGTAAATCAGGGAGTATTTGACTCCGGACTCCCGTTAATTTTGCACCCTGACATTGACACTGACAGGTCACACATCCGCATCTCCATCTCTATGGTCCTTATCCAGGTCTCCTAGGGTATTCCCCTTCTTCTCCTCCCGTCTGACTCTGGCATCCATCTAAGTGCTGTTTTTGCTATATCACCTTCCATCCTAGCTCTAGTACTATAGCCCGCGTTCAAGAACGGCCTGCGGCAGTTAATGAACGCGGGCTATAGTACTAGAGCTACTTCCAACCGTGCGACATGACCGAGCCAAGTCCATCTTCTTCTTTTAATTATATTTCCCAATGGTTGTGTGTGTGTGATTAATTTGGTAGAGTCGTTCGTTTGTAATTGTGTTTGGCCACTGTATCTTGAGGATCCGCCGTAATGACTTTGTTTCGAAGGCATAGAGTTTTTGAGTGATTTCTTTTGTTGCCTTCCAGCTTTCTGCTCTGTAAAGAAGCACACTCAAAACATTACTGATAATTTCTTGTAAATGTTGTTCAAATCTTCTCTGCAACACACAAGTACACCGAATGCACGTCGCTGTGCACAAACAATTTTATATTCTTGACTCTTCTATCTGTTCTATAATATTCTACATTCTTCTCTCTAATATATAGATCTATTATGACACTCCTGATTTTATTAGAGAAACGTTCCAAGTATCTGTGAGCATGCCCACTTTGTCTTAGCTCTACCAGTGAACCTTCACAGGTTTTACTGCTTGTGCCATAATCAACAAACGAGGGCATATAGTTCTATAGCTCGGTTTAATGATAGTACTGATGTATAGGGTACTAAATTGTACTTCACCCCACTGCACGTATCCATTAGCTATATATGCAATAATATGCAATAAGACATAGTGCACAGGTTAGAGTTGTACATTAGTTACACAGATATTTATTGGTGCTATAGACAGACTCACTGCATCATACACATGGGTGCTCCTGTGCCATTGTAATGTGTATTAAACAATGTTACATTATGGTAATATTTAATCTATATTATTTCATTTGCAGACCAGTTTATTAAGCCATGGCTACATTTTGGCGATCATATCTGCATGTTCTAAGTAAACATCCTTGGAAGACACAGTTGGCAACAACAGGTGATTTATGTTATAATGAATTGTAAAATCCTTCCCTCACACACTTGATATTAGCTCAAGTGTTACTTATTGTTATGTAAACTCAATTACCAATGTACTACGTACAAATAAGCATCAAGAAAAGACGGTGAATGAGATTAAGGTGCAGAGGAGGAAGTAGCAGTAGAAGAATTGCAGGATAATTGCAGGTAATGTATGTGGGGTTAGAAGGAGAGCAGGCAGATGAAGCATGTGGAGAAGAGGTAGAACATTAGGATGTTGAGGAGGCAGTATATGAAGGTGGAACAGGATGGAAATTGCATGATGGGACAGAGCTAGGGAAGAATTAATTACATGTGAGGAATTGATGGAGAAAGAGAATTCCACAGAAGAGAAGTAAATTCTATTCCTTCCTATTGTCTTCTGTCACCATTAATTTATACTATCTTTTCGTGTATTACCTAATTTCCTTTCTCTAGCTTACCATCTTCATCTCTTAGACTTATACCTAAATCATCTAGCTCCCACTGCCCAGCTCATCCTTTTCTTTCTCCTATCCAATCTCTTATTTCACATTTTCCTGAACTGGCTGCAATGCTGCATACACTTCTTTTTAATTTCCCCTACTCCCCTTCCTCATTCTCCTTCCTTCATTGTACCAGCCTAGCTCTTCTTCCATCTTCTTCCTGATTTCCATCTTTTTACTCTAATTTTCCCTTCTTCACTTCTCATCTATTCTCTTCTTTCTTCTTTTGAAATTAGTCAAATTTTTGCCCTGCCAGTATTCCATCAGGCCAAATATGTTGTAGTATTGTAATTGTTCACCAGCAGCAAGCAAATTAACACATCTTATAAGAAACTCTAATTAGTTACTTGATCATTTGTTAAATAACGGTTATAGCCTTAACACACTGATTGAGTGTCTAGTATATATAATGGAGCACGTGTAGGCCTAATTGAGATTTTCATGTAGAATTTTCCTGAGCACAAGTTTATAATTAACACGTAATGTTACAGGTGTATGAATCAATTAGGAAATCGGAAAAGTGGAACTATTATGTAGTCCACTTTAAATATTTTGTTTCAATAAACTACAATTACGTTTTTAGGTGTTCTGTGTGGAGCTGGGGACTGTATTGCACAGCTCATTGTAGAGAAGAAGGAACTGAGGCACTATGATTGGATAAGATGTACAAGGTTCACCTTAGTTGGTTTCTGTGTAATTGTAAGTAATGTTTTAGCTCGAGCATATTTTTTAAAAACATATCTTAAAATAACTACATTAAATAAAATATTTACCTCCTATAAACGAGAATAAAAGTGTTCTGTTGAACTGGTTTTGCCTTTCATGTGTAGATCAATGACACATTTTGCATTTTTGTCAGAACAGACAGATTTGGCATGGTTAGGTTTTATCTAAATTTCGAAAAATGAAAACAGTGGGCATGTACATCTATTATTGGTGGCTGTTTACTAAAAATGTCAAAATTTGTTATATGTGGAATAAGGATAAAAATATATATTACAATTAATGTTCTAGGGACCGGCACTCCGAACGTGGTACCTGGCGTTAGAGAGACTGTTTGGAACAACAGGAAAGTCTGTTGCTTTGAAAAAAGTATTCTTTGATCAGGTATATTGATTTCTTTACAATCCACACCATGCATAGAAATGCATTTTTCATTTATTATTCTCAGAATTACTGAAAACAAGTCAATGTCTTGGTTGAACTCTTTGCTGAATTGTATATGTATTTCTTTTTAAAGCTACAAAAAACTGACTTTTAAATTTGTCAAATATTTCTTATTTAATTATAATATTTTGTTTCAGACTATCTTTGCACCAATATTCCTAGGTAATTTTATCATGCTCATGAGCCATCTTCAAGGACAGAAATGGCCTGATATCAAAAATACTATGGAAAAGGTGATTTTTAGTGGTATATTTATATATATATTAACCAGACCATATTTTCTAATATAAAATGCAGGCCCGTAGCCAGCTTTCTATTGGGGGGGGTTCGTTTTTCAATGTTGGCAATTTGCTCGGCAGGGGCGTGTACAGGATTTGTACCA